AGCAGGAAAGGGGAAGGGGCCCCGTTCCCAGAGTCGGGATTTTGGCGCGTCCGCCTCTGGAACGGCGACAAATACGCGGCCACCACCAACCCCTTCACCCCCCTCACCTTGAGGGTGAAACCCAAGAGAGTTGGGATTTTTCTGGATTATGAAGCTGGGAAAGTGGCTTTTTACAACGTCACCGACAGGTCCCACATCTTCACTTTCTCTGCCACCTTCACCGGGAAGATCTGGCCCCTCTTCTATCCCGGGATCCGGGCCGGGAGGAGGAACGCGGCGCCGCTGGTGATCTGCTCCCCCACAGACTGGGAGTGAGCTGGGCTGGGGACTGGGAGAGCGGGGGCCACGGGGAGAGCTGGAGCCACTGGGAGAGCTGGGGCCAGCCCACCAGGACCGAGGAGTTCGGGAGCCACTAGGATCAAGGGATCTGGAGCCATCAGGATCAAGGGATCTGGAGCCACCAGGATCAAGGGATCTGAAGCCACCAGGACCAAGGGATCTGGAGCCACCAGGATCCAGGAGATCTGGAGCCACTAGGATCAAGGGATCTGGAGCCATCAGGATCAAGGGATCTGGAGCCACCAGGATCAAGGGATCTGAAGCCACCAGGACCAAGGGATCTGGAGCCACCAGGATCCAGGAGATCTGGAGCCACTAGGATCAAGGGATCTGGAGCCATCAGGATCAAGGGATCTGGAGCCACCAGGAGATCTGGAGCCACCAGGATCTGAGGATCAGGCATGGACAGGGTTTGGATCCAGGAGATCTGGAGCCACCAGGACCAAGGGATCTGGAGCCACCAGGATCAAGGGATCTGGAGCCACCAGGAGATCTGGAGCCACCAGGATCTGAGGATCAGGCATGGACAGGGTTTGGATCCAGGAGATCTGGAGCCACCAGGACCAAGGGATCTGGAGCCAGCAGGATCCAGGAGATCTGGAGCCAGCAGGACCTGGAGCTGCAGCAGGGATGGGCTCTGGATGGACAATGTCTGGGACCACCAGGATTTGGCTCCAGGAGATCCAGCACCTCCAGGATGTGGTTCCAGCACCGGCTGGATCGGGCCCTGCAGGTGGGTGGGTGTCCCCCCACCCCCTCCTTGTGTCCCCC